GGAAAGGATAAGAACCTTTAGCAAATTAAAAAAATCAAGTTAAACCTTTTGGTAGAGAATATGGGCGAATATACTTATGAAGTAAGCTGGATTTATAAATGTGATGAACCCATGGGTTTATTTTCATACATTTGTGCGCATCAAGGTGTTGCATGTCGAATGCCCCTTCGCTATCTAAGAATGTGTCATAAAGCGGGGAAGGCATTTGCAACACACAGAATAGAAAGTAACAGATAAATGGGCAGAGCATATGAATTGGCAAGCGAAGAGGAAACCCAATTAGTCAGTAAATACAAGCAGATGTTTAACCTCAAGGTAATTAAAGGCGTGCAAATTAAAGAACCAAATTAGCAAAAGTCAAACGTCCGCTGATAGTGTGGGTGAGGGCGCAGAGCTGGGGTCCGTCCACTTCGTTGGAGGCGTGTCCGCTGCACAGTGACGGGGAGGGCAAGTACCTCGTAATGGTGATGGCGGGTGTTCCCTGCGACCTAGGTGTTTCAGTCGCAGGTGTATACCCAACAGGTGTCCAAGGAAACGTGTGCAAAGTAATCGCTGCGGCATGGTGTGCTTCGCAGACCCAGGATCAACCGAAATAGGTTGCCCATTAATAGGAGAATGGATACATAAATGGGGTACATTTATTCAATGGAATATTATACACGGCAATGAAAATGAATCGACTTAAAAAAACTACATAAGGATATGTATAGAACCATCCCATCCAGGCGCAATCTTAAAAGTGAAATATCGATGCCCGTGAAATGAAAGGCTAGCATTCCTGAGAGCGATAAGCGTCCAGTTCAGGGCGAGGCTTTCGTCTGCTGAGGGAGAGAGGGCCTGTCACTTCCAGCTCATGTTTTACCTCTTAAGCCGTGTGCTGGTCGTAACTGTTGCTTATACTGCTGTCTGCACGTTTTCGTGCGCCTGGGGCACTGTGGTGCGTCCCGGGCGCCGTGCAGCCACACGTCCATTGTAGTGAAACAGACTGAAGAGCTGCCGGAGAGCAGTGACCGATTATCCACGAAGGACCAGCCATTTAACTGGCAACAGGCCGCTTATCAGTAATAGTCGCCACTAGAAGTCCTTGGAGGAACATCTTCAAAATACTAAGGGGACCGCACCTGTGCGTGCACGTGGGCTGCCTATGTGGGACACAGCTGGACCATCCCAGGTGGTTTTACAGGTTAAGGATAAATCCTACACGAAGGAACACCCGGATGGCTTCTTCCCATCAAAAGAGAAAGAACAAAGGATCATCTTAGTAGATGTAGAAACCGTGTTCAGTCACCTGCAAATCCCATTCATGACAAAAGCCTAGCAAACCGGAAATGTCAGGATTGACAAGGGTTAGGGGACATCATACTTAGTGGAAGCGTTTCTGCTGATGAAGAAAAGACGAGTCTGCTTGCTGTCACCACTTCTGCTTAGTGTGCTAGTGTACTAGCTAACACAATAAGAATAAAGCAACAATAGGTGTAGAATTGGGGAAAAAAACTAAATTACTTCCAGATGATATAATTATCTACATAGAAAACCCAAGAAATGTAAAGGTAAACTCCTAGACCTAATATTCATCGAGGTCGTTGAGCATAAAACGGAATGTGAAAAGAGAACCTCATTCATTGGTAATAATTAATTAGAAAAAAATCCCATTCACTTCGTTTCGTTTCTTCATGTGGATTTGAGTTGCTGTCTGGTCTTTAATTCCAACCTGAAGAGCCTCTTTGGTACCTCCTGGAGGGCAGACCTGCCAGGGACAGGGTCTGTCCCTTTGTTTCTCTGGGGAGGCCTGATCTCCCAGTTTCGAAGGCTGGCTTTGTTGGCTATAGAATTCCCGATCGACGGTCTGTCCAACGGGGTCATCTCACCACCTCCCGACCCTGTCTTTCCGATGAGACGTCAGCTGTCGAGCTCATCGGGGACCCTGTCCTGAGGTGTCTCCTCTCTCTGCTGTCAGGATGCTGTGGTTTTTGACGCTTGCTCGGCTTGTGAGATGTGTACCCGTGTGCCTCGCCGTTCCTGCCAGCCCCCCAGACGGGCGAGGGAGAGCTCAGGCAGGACGTTTTTAGTGAATGGGGCATTTCGGAAAGGCTCGCGAGTTGCAGTCAGCATCTTCGAGGGAATCATCACAGGGAGAGAGAGAGGAAGTGTCGGGCTGTGCGCAGAGAGGGGCCCGCGAGGAGACGGGGGCCCCTCGGTGACGGGAGTGGCTGGGAGCCTCCCGACTTGCCTCTGCAACCCCCACCCCAGGGTCCTGCTGCCGAGGATCTTGTGAGGAAAGCGTTTGAGAAACGCACCTATTCCCCACTCTGGAGACTCGGCGTGCGTCAGGCTATTGGAGACCCTGCTGTCGCGTGCGTAAAATGCCCTCCGGGAAAGAGGCACCTGTCACGCATGTGCGTCCGAGGCTGTGGGAAGCACAGGCCCCGTGAGGACGTGCAGCCCCGAGTCATCACGCTGGAGGGCCTTCCACGGGCGAGGCACAGCCTGACTCCACAGACAGGTCCCCCAGTGCCCCCCATGTGCGCCATCATCACGGACGGACGGCTTCTCCGGCCCAGGAACGCTCCAGCCTCATGCTGTTCTCACAGCCCGGGGCGCCCTCGTCCTGGGACACCGCTCCCTGTGTCAGGCCTTCCCCTGCCCCTCAGTGGGTCGGCTTGGCCCCGCAGGATCGTTCCCGTCGCCTGAATGAGTCACCCATATGGAGTGGGCCCCTGAGCTGAGATGAGCTTGGGGGCCGCTTCCCGTGCTGTCAGTGAGGCCTGAGGCCCTCCTGTTAGGTCGCGTGTCGCAGGGCAGCACCTACCTTCCAGGAGAGGGGCGCTGTCGTCAAGTGGACTCTGTTCTCCCCGCCGCTGGCCCACCCTGCCCTTCCTGGCCTCAGCTGGCCCAGGATGCCCAGCCACCATGGTGCAGTCATGGGGAGCGGGGCTGCCCTGATGGCCTCTGCCAGTGGGTCGCGGAGCCACGCTGTTCTTCTCCAGTATAATGGCCAACTGTGACAAAGGGTTTCTAAATTCTGGACGAGACCTCTCATTTCACGGTGGCACAGCGTCTGGCCACCTTCTGCATCAGCCATCTGGCTCCCGTAGTTATTTCTGTGGGTGAGGGTGAGGAGTCTCGTGGCCTGCTCCAGGACACGGGGCGGAGGCGGGGCAGGCAGCAGGCCCTGGGGATGGTGCCGAAACCCTGTCCTTCCACATCCTACCCCCGAGAGGCGCCGCCGCGCTGCTCCTGTGCTGAATCCTGGTTCAGGAGTTATCATCACCACTAAGTTCCGTTTCATAGCATCTGGACGGTATTTTCATTTTTTCGCTCATAGCCAAGAAAAGAAATAACATTTATTGAGAACATTCTGTGTCATAGCCGCTAGAGGAAGTGCTTTAAATGTCTCAATTATAACGTTTTTATATTTGCAGGCATACCTCGTTGTATTGCTTAGCTTTATGATGCTTCGCAGACGTTGCGTTTGTTTTTAACAAATGGAAGGCCAGACGCTCCACTAGCAAAAGATGATGACCCGCCGAAGGCTCAGATAATGGTTAGCAGTTTTTATCAATAAAGCATTTTTTAATTACGGTGTATGCATTATTTTCTAGACATAATGCCATCATCGCACACTTCACAGACTACAGTATAGTGTGAACAGCTGTGACGCGCACCAGGAAACCGTGAGGTTACCTTACTGCGGAGCCCGCGTCGCTGGGGCGCTGGGGGAGCGAGCGCGCCCCGTGCACCCCGTAACTGCGCTGGCCCCAGGGAGCAGCCTCACTCACAGGGGTGCCCAGCCACCTGAGGCGCAGGGCTGTGTCGGTGAGCGCTCGGCCACGGTGGCCGGATCCAGCCGACGGAAAGTGACTCCCACGTGTGCTGTTTTGTCATTCCAGGGACATTTTAACCACACCGAGAGTCGTTAGAAGATGCATGTTGGTCCAGGAGGATTTCAACTTTGGTTTCGAACCTCCATTTGACGGCGAATGTCCATCTCTCACGATGGCCGTGGGCGTCCACCCGTCCCCTCGTTCAGGTAACCCAGCATCCTCCGCGCTCGAGCCAGAAGGCCCCAGTCCCTTGCGGAGCCTGCAGGGTGCTGGCGCCCCCCGCACCGCCTCCCGCTGCGTCTTGGCCGAGAAGGGGATCATTCGCATCGCTGAAAAGTTTAAAAGACGTGGTGTCGGACTTCCTGGAGGTTGAGACCCCTGGGGCTTTTGGAGCCGTACCCAGATGTCGCCCCACCGTTCCCCTTCCCGTGGTCTTGTGGGTTATCCAGGGCTGCCTATGGATTCTTTTCTAGCGAAAAGACTTATTTTTGTACTTAAAATGCTCTATGATCTTCAACTGAATTTGACTGAAAGCTAGTATCCATTCTGTTCCGTGTGATTCTCTCACTGACATTACCACACAAGACCCGTTTGATATTAAAATGAAGTTTTTCCTCTTCCCCTGGGTTTTCGCTGTGGCGTCTAACTGTGGAGACCGACATCACGTCCCCTGCGCTGTCCCAAAGAGACATTTTAAAAGCATAATCACAATACGATTATCGTTCCTCAAACCAAAGTTACAAAAATTTTTTGTATTATGAAATCTCTAGTGTCTGATCACATTTGTACACGCTTCATCAGTTTCATAAATGATTGCTTGTATTTTGTTTTGTTTTTACGACTTACTTGGATCGGGGCTCAGGTGAGGTCCATGTACCTGACTGGTCGACCTGGCCCGTCTCCCGCTTCCCGTCCTGTCCCCTTGCCGTGTGTTTTCAGGAAGCCAGTTTGTCCGTCGAGTCTCGCTCGTGGCATCTCCCACGTTCCACCCGCCCCTCTTACCTCTGCATTTCCTAAAAATTGGTAGTTGATCCAGAAACTTGATCAGATTCACTTTTGATTTTTTTTTGGCCAAAGTTCCTTTCGATCCTTGCCATTCTGATCTTTGCTCCTGACTTTGTTGTTTTAAGTTGTGTGGACAGCATTACATTTCTGACAGATTTTGGGCCACGTGCATATTTTTTTGTAAACTTCCCGTCTTTGCCCATTTTTCTTTTGGGGCGTATGTCTTTTTTTAATTTATTTTTAAGAGCTGTTTATATATTAAGGGTGTTATTTCCATTTTTCTCTCATGCTTCAAATATTTTTCCCAACTTATAATTTTCACTTTCTTTTCAATGATGTTTAATGACAGAAATTTTTAACCGCACATAGACATATCCGTTGGCCTCTTTCCTGCTGGTTTCTAGCCTTAGAATCATTCAAGAAAGGCCTTCCTCTCGTCAGGATTGTGTGCCTTATACGAATTGACATGTAACTCATATATCTACATTTTTGCATGATCGTGATTTTATTTTTAACGTAAACTTTTTTCTAGGTACAGATTTGGGCGAAGCATAGAGGGCAATGTCCCTAACTTTACTTTTCTCCCGAATGTTAACCGGTTGTTCTAGCCCCGTCTCTGCCGGACTGTGAACCCCACCCGCGCCGTGGGGGTCACCTCTGCAGTCTTTCTGTTCTGTGACGCGTGTCGCTCGCCTGGCGGCTGTGGCACTGCGTGTGTGGCTTCGTCATCGAGACTGAACGCGTGTGCAAGGGAGCGAGCAAGCGCGTGCCGGGCGTGTGGCTTCGTCATCGAAACTGAACGCGTGTGCAGGGGAGCGAGCAAGCGCGTGCCGGGCGTGTGCGCTTGGGGAGCTGCTCCTTCTCCGTCTCCGCTGCCCCCTCTCAGAATTTGCCCGGTCTCCTCTCATTCTCGTTCTTCTGGATCAACCTTAGGACCACGGTGTCAGATTAGGGAAATAAAACCCGCATAGCAGCAGTTGGATTTGTGCTAAATTTACTGATTAATTGCAGGAGGAGCAGTAGATTCGTTACCTGGAGACGTGAAGCATTTTACCATGATAAACACCTTTCACGTGTGTCAAACGGCTCCCATTTTATTTTTTGGTTTTTGTTTCGTGAGTGTAAGTCTTGCACTTTAAACTCAGATCCCAGGTAATCCTTTTTCCATTATTTTTTCTGATTATAACTGTCATACCAGATTATTTCCTGAAAATTTGCTATTTAAAACTCAGTAGCGCATTTTTGCCCCAAATGTGAAGGGAAGGCCGCTGCTCTTTATTGAGCAGCATATGTCAGCATTGTGCTTAATTAAAGCCTCAGAACACCCTCTGAGAGAATTGTCCTCACTGTTCTAGTAGGGTGGGGGCTCAGTAAGGCTGGGTCCCCTGTCCACAGCCAGACTGTGGGTCCAAACTAGGCCCTCGGGCCCCGGCATCGGCTCTGCAGACCGTGCGTCTCAAACCCCACCTGGATCACAGAGGAGGGGTCTCGTTACGATGCAGAGTCTCCAGGTCTGCGGAGGGGCTTGGGATCCTGCATTTCAAATAAGCTCCCAGGAGACACCTGGGCCACGCAGAATTGGGGCGTGCCCCAGTCATTTAGGGTCAGCAAGATGGGACCTTCGTGGGCTACACGCAAGTTCTGGCAATCCCTGGTTCTGGTGTGGAAAGCGTTTCTGGTTTTCTGGAATAACTTGAACAGTTTACTTTGCCAGTCTAGGAAGTCCCTAAACTCGGCGTGCACCCCCATAAGTAGTGATGTCTAGGTGATCGTGGGGCCTGGGGTAGGTGCCTGCCTGGGAGTCCTCTGCCACCTCCCTATTCACTCTGACCCCACACGTCGAGTCCCTCGTCCGGGAGATGAGAACGACGGCAGCGCTGACCCCCCCAGCTCGGTGACCAGCGAGTGACCGAATGGTGGCTGTGAGGCGCTCATGACCGTCTGGCCGTGGTGACCATGAGTGGTGACGCACAGGTGCACGCAGGCCTCAGCGTCCTAGCCTGATGCCCGGGACCACGGGAAGTCAGGGACCAAGGAAGTTAAAGCCAGCTCTTCTGCCACCGCCCCTGCCCTGTCGTGAAGCCCTCCCCCTTGCAGGCCCAGAAGCCATTCCCACGGCCCACGTTGCCTTGTCTCGTGACTGGTGTTCTTGGTTTTTTTAAAGCACCTTTAGAAACTTCTGGCCCTTCAGGTACTTACAGATATGCACACGTGTTTGGTGAGGGTGTCCGGCTGTCCGTCGTGTGCGATCACTGTCACGTCTGCAGCCTGGCCGGAAGGCTCGGCTGTCTAGGGCGAGCTTGGAAGGGCTCGGACGGAGTGGGCTGTGGGCTTGGGGCTGTGTGATGGGCACGGGGTGTCGCTGGGGAGGACGGCAGAGTTCTGATGATGAATGGTGGCGATGGTTACACAACAGTGTGAATGTGCCGAATGCCAGTGAAATGTACACTTACAAATGGTTAAAATGATCAGTTCTATGTCGTGTGTGTTTTAGCACAACAGAAAGATCGAGACTCGGTGACCCAGGCCTCCCCTTTGCCCTGAGCGACGGCGCCGTTTCTTTTCCTCGTTTCCCATGAGTCACCAACTGGCCGGTCCAAACACTAACTGATCACTTGTCCTCCACTTCCTCTTCTCCAGCCACTGGAAACCCTGGGGCGATGTGGGGACCCCGACAGCCCCCTCCCTGGGTTCTCTGGGCAAACGGTCCTAAACGGCGGGGCTGACCTCAGTCCCCACGTCTGGGGGACGCGTCCCTGACAGCCGTGTGGATGGGCCATTCCTTCCGGCCGTGCTGAGTCGTCCTGGAAGGGTTGGTGGCACTCCTGGATCCCCGTCCGTAGTTACTGGAGGGCAGAGGCAGTGGACAGCGACACGGGGTGACGACTGTGTTAACTTCCCTCAATTAGTCACTGTTGCAGGGGAGGGTCACAGACAGTGGCAGCCTGCGTGGAACTTGTCATGTCCCCCGCGTGGCACGTGGGGGGCAGAGCTGATCAAGAAGATGAAGGGAGCTGGAATCTCTGGGTCCGTGGCGCATTTCCGCCTCGAGTCTTCCCCACCCGGACCCCCCAGCTTAGGTAAGTAACGCTCTGTCTCAAAAACTCAGCACTAACGCCCCCCAGGTGGCCACCAGGAAGGGGGCTGCTCAGCGTCAGCCACAAAATCAGGTCCCTCAGTTTCCAGTCCCTCTGGGGACAAACAGCTCGGTGCGGAGCCAGGATGGCCAGTAGGCGTCATATACGGTGCTGGCTCCGAGCGGTCGGAACGCTGGACTAGGTGGTCAAAAAGAGGCCGCACACGTCCTGTAACCTGGTGACGAGTGATGGGGCACCACAGTGACCGATGGGGACAGAATGCATAGTGTGTTTCCCCGCGGCTGTCCCAGACCCAACTGGGGCTCCTCAGACCATTGGGTTCCCATTGGACTTTGGGGCTGACACCCCCTTACCGTCGCTGTAGCGGTCACTGGGCACCTTGGGCGAAGCGCCTGGCATGCCCGCGGAGAATGCTCACCGTACGACAGCTGCCACGTTCGAGCCCGTGCGTGGCTGTCCAGGCGCGCTCCTGTCCTGCCGGCGGCAGCGTGGCCACGTCTCGGCTCGTGGTGCAGATGGGCGTCCGGAAGCCGCGGAGGCCTGCGGCGCAGCCTGCCGCTCTGCGCGTGGCCCGCTCTGGTCAGCGCAGGCTGGTCATGTTTGCCGAGTGCCACGGACACGAGCCCCAGCTCGGGACAGAGAAGTTTCTTCACGGACATCTAAATCCACGCACGTGAGAACAGTTACAAACTGAAGCCACATTTAGCTATGGCCTTTATTGAAAGGAGTAAAAGTACAAGACGCGGCCATCAGCCACAAACGTGCGCGGCAGCTAAGGCGACGTGTGCTGTTGGCCGCCTTTCGGGTGAGGCCAGTGCATGGAGCTTTAAATCTCTTAATTTTTTCAAACATTCTTGACAGGCCTCTCAATAGTCTGAAGAAATTTAATCTTGGGTCACAAATGCCTTTTCCGGCCCCTGAATGTTGTGGATCATCAGAAGTGAGCGGCGGCCCGGTGCGTGTCCTCTGCGGAGAAGTGTCTGTTCAAGTCCTCAGTCCATTCTTTAAATGCGTTATTGGGGTCTTTTCGCTGTTGAGTCACGAGAGTGACTTATATATTTTGGAAATTCACGTCCTCACATAGTGGCTGGCAACTCTTTCCTCCCCTTCCGGAGGCTGCCGTTTCGCTCTGTCGATTATCTGCTGTGCAGAAGGATTTTAGTTCGATGTAGTCAGCTTGTCTGTTTTTGCTTTTGTCGCCTGTCGTGAAGCGCCCTGCCTTTCGGTAATATCTCTTTGCCATCTCATTGCCAAGACCAATGTCATGAAGCTTTTCCTGTTTTCTTCTGGGAGTTAAAGAGTCTCGGGTCTCATAGTTAAGTCAGTTTGAGTTTATTTTTGTTTATGGTGCACGTTAAGGGTTCAATATCCTTATTTCGCACGTGCATCCAATTTTCCCGGCCCCGTTTGTTGAAGAGACCGTCTTTTCCCGCCGTGTGGTCTGCGCATCCTTGCCGGAGGTCACTGGCCGTGTGTGCAGGCATGTGTTTCTCGGTGCTCTCGTTCGTTCCATTGGTCTGAATGTCTTTGTTTACACTGGTACATGGCAGCATAAGGGCGTGATGCCTTCAGCACGTAAATGCAAAGATGATCGACACCACGAGTCATCAGGGGAATGCAGATCAGAACCACAGTGAGTTTTCAGCTCACACCTCTTAGGATGGCTGTGACCAAAAACACAACAGGTACGCGAGCATCAGGGAGGACGTGCAGACGTCA